CGTGACGTAAGTGAACATTCTTGCATAATTAATGAGCTCTGGTCTAACAGATGACAAGAATAAATAGGGTTTTTGCTCTTAATAACAATCATCAGAGTCCTGAAAATGACACGAAACATACTTTTTCCATTGATATCGATAAAGTTTCCATTTGATAAGGGACTTTCCGTTTTGAATTTTCTTTGGAGTTCGGTATTTTTGTTATTTTACTTTTCACGGCTTTAAAAAAACATGACTTTCGTAGATATTGCCTCTTTAAGGACTGAGTTTGTAAACTCGACTATGTAATAAGTAAAAACAGTATATAAGGGAAACAAATCTACATAATAATGTCAATTTTGCATTTCGAATCTTCCTATCGTTTATTTCCCAAGAACAAAAAATTTTGCATTTCATTATATGCATGGGATCGAGTAGCTAATGGCTTATTCCATTGCAAATGTTAATATTTTGATACGTATTGCGCTGATATAAGGATTTTGCAAGTATTGTTTAATTGCATATAGATAAGAGTGAACTCAAACATTCACCTTACTACGTAGTTATCTCATTTTACAGTTGTAATTTCATTACAGTTTACTACATAAAAAAATAATATTTTCAATCAACCATTTTATTTAGACGGTTCCTAGATAAGTGTTGGTGTAACTATATTCGTTAGAGACATTACCATTCCTTTTTTATTTGTGAAAGTAAAAAAAATACACTTACTAGTATTTGACATGCTGACCTATAGTTCTTAAATCTCTTATTTGAACACTGTTGGATACATGTTGTTGACTATCATACCAAATGTCGTAATTGTATATGCAACGCATCATTATTGTTTGCTTGATAATATGATGTTCGTTTAAAGTAGATACCGTTAATTACTATCGTATATACGTGGTCACCTAATGTGTTAATGTGATTATAACAGAATTGCTCTAATAAGAAAAAGATGGATGTTTTTATCGACAAGATTAATGTCGATTTTTGGGGTTGCTATTTAAATACAAAGTTACTAACTATGCATCCATATTGGTGGAATTAATGTGAATCCGAATTTATTCAAAACCTTTTCCCAATCATAGTCGTTTATAGAACTGTTTACATTTACGTTGAAATGTATTGCAAATAGCCTATTTTCCTTAACTCCCATTTTAACGAATGCTTGCGTCTCATTCATTCCTGTGAAATTGGCATACGGATACTATTGACACTTGCAGGTCTTTTTCGTCTTAAAATCCATTTGTAAAACATTTTTTCAAACAGACGACCCAAACTGGTTTAAATGACAAACGAGACAATTTAGATTTCCCATAACTCATATTCACTACCCAATATATATAGTACAGTATAAAAACTAGCAAAAGACATGTACGCCTGTGCATTTGTAAATGATACAGACTTCATTTTCAAGGATGTAATAACAGAAAACTGCTCCAGTGATTATGAAAACGACACTGAATCAACTTTACACAAGTTTTACAAACACCGTCACGAATTTATTCAGTGATGCTAGAGGCCAAAATATTTAAAAATCCAAAATATGTATAAAAAAAACAACAAAAAAACGAAAAGCTTATAAACCAACAAGGACAAACAGTATAGCCAATTTGATTTTGAAATTGCCTTATATTTATATACAAGTCTTTCCATAGTTGCCATTTTGCAGCAAACAAAATTCGAAAACAACATTTCAATTTAAGTTTGCATTAGATGTTGTTTGAAGGAAATACGCAGGAGAAAGATTAATTTACAAATAAATGTCTGTTGCAGGTCTGCAGCAAATAATTATTTGCGTTTAAATATCTGCAGCAGGTCTTCAACAAACCCTCATGTGCATGGTAAATTGTTTGCGGCAGACTTGCAGCATATTAGCAGCAAAACAGATTCTGTTATTGAAGCAAGTCTGCAGTAAAAAAGTATAACAAAAAAACTCCAAGGCAATTTAAAAAAAAGGGAATTCCATAAAAACTGACAAAATTACTCGCAGAGTACAACTGGTAAGTTTGCAAGAGGGTGATTTTTCTGGAAGGGTTCGCTTTCTTAATTAATTTTCAACGTTTTCATTCTGATGTTTTCACTAGTATAATATTTTAATTCATTACTGTTCATTTTATTCTGAATACTATACAGGTTTTGAGCACTAACGGCGCACAATTTCCTTGTTGTTCACTTACAATTCAGGCATTTACATTGTCCGAGTTATTTGGAGAGCAACATTTAAAATGTCCGGGTTTTTTAACAAATGTTTCGGTTTCTTAAATGAAAATGTGAAAAAGATGGCAGGCTTTGCCTTAGAAACTGACTTCTTTTCTAGTTTATAACTTATTTTATGAAGAGTAATATTATATATTCTTAGTAAGTCATAAAACATATTACTGTGTTGATCAAATATAACCCTTTTCAATCAAATTCTAATTTTCTGTTTTTGAAACCATTTTTCCATAACCTTGCAGTATGAATATATATTAAAAATTACTATTACTGGATCCTTTATAAAACTGTCGTAAGAACAGAATACAGGGGACTCATAATCTTTTCAATTTCATTTCATGCTACCTTTGTTTTAGCAGTCAAAAATATTTCATGATAAAATTAATTAACAGTGACGAACCCCGGAGTTTTTTAAACTATAGCTAGCGTTAAGAAAACTAAGGAGCAGCTAGAAAAATCAGAAAAAGACAATATGATATTTTCCTTTATTTAGGCATTTCTCTCTGATGGAAAGGATATCAGGGTGTTTTATTGCTGTGTGATTAAGTATAAAATACGCTTGATTAGACTCCTTTTTACAGTAGTGGCATTTGAACATTGTTCTTGTTTTCCATATCTAAAACGATAAAACAAATTACAATCAAGACAAATAAATAATGACAAATTTAGGATATATTTTCTGTTTAAAAAACCTATATATACTCACTTAACACACTACGTCTCAATCCAAGATGTCTGTGCTTACATAAATATTGTTTACATCACGAATACTGTGTATGAAATCCATATCGAAACGCTAACATAAAGATTGTTCACATCGCGTAGATTTACTGTATGGAATCGACACCGAAATACGTTTGTTTGGATAAGATCAATATGTTTACCTGCCGTTGACATGTTGGATCGTTTAAACTATTCACATAGGTGTTGACATGTTGGATCGATCCAAACATACGCAAACTTGTTTAGTTTGAATAAAGTTTATAGTTGACGTGCATGATGTGAAGTTTTTACTTGGGCGCAGACTTGGTCGATCTTTGCACATTTAAGTATGGTGGTGTCCATGTAATTGTATAAGGTGTGGCAAACATCAATATATACAAATAAACATTGCCTTTTATGAAATGAACGTGTTAATACAGCATATTCGAATGGTTTGATGCATTGGTTTCGTGCTTTGAAAAGTACTTTATTTCGCAAGTAGGTTAATGCAGGATTTCATTAATTTCCAAGGCATCCCCCCCCTTTTTTTTATCTATTTATATTTTGTATGAAAAATGATTGATTCTAGAATCGTCGATTAGTCTGCCAGGAAAATATTTTCTGCTATCACACGTGGTGTCTTAGTCGTCACTTGATTTTACGATATGGCTAATTTTCCATATAATTTAGCCTGTAGAATAAGTTCCCATGTTTAAAAGTTAGCCGTGAAAATTGACAGTATGATACAAAAATACCTTTTACTCCATAAAAACTACTGATCGCTCACTGAAAAATGTTTTCCTTTATTTATACAACATGAAAACCAGAAATTCACGTCTGATGCTGTGAGCTTTAGCATAGAAAATACCTCGTTTTTCAATTAAAAAAAAAAAAAAAATGTACAAGCTTGCAGCTATTTTCAATAAGCTGACTAATTAGTCTATAAACAGCTCAACGGATTTGAAATAACATTTACGTTGGTACCTTGTTCTTCTAGTTTGTTTGTTGTCCACATATATCGTCTGAAACGACGCCCATTGAATAAACGCTTTACTGATCGGCATAAGGGAGATAACCGAGGTAAAACATTCTAAAGTTGCGTTAACGGGAATATCAAGCACGCATATTTAGGAAATCACTCCTATATGAAAGTTTATTTATTCGTTAATCATTGTAAAATACCGTGCCCTTAATGAAGTATCTTTTCGAAAAAGAAAATAAAAGGGGTGGATGTTTCATATTTCACATTCAATGTGAGCATTTGTTTTTTAATATAAATAAAGGATTAGTGTGGGGTATGGAAAGTAAATTTTATTTTATACTGTTGAGACACCATTCTGGTGTGTTTTATTGTTTAAAATGAAAAACAGCAGTAAAGTCTCTGAAGAAGGTGTTTATCAATTCCTTGCTTAACCAAAAAAAAAGAAGGTATTGAGATACAAATCTACTGCGTATTCTATTACCAATTTCGTTGTGAAGTCTTCGGATACATTTATAATGATAATAAATATTGTACACAATGAATGAATTTCCTTGTTAAAACCCAGTCATTGGGTAAATGTAGGATTTATTAAAATGTGTAAGTTGACCTAAAGAAATCATATCTGCTAAGAGAAATGCTGTATTTTATGTTGTATATGTATCATTCATTCTCCCCTGCAACTGCTAAATAAGAGTCAGTGACAAAGGCCAGAAAATATTATAAATTAAGTTTCTTTAACTGTTGAATCCAAATGTCAAAGTTTAAAACTATATTGTATACAATGAATGAATTTCCTTCTCAAAAACCCAGTCATTCTGTAAATGTAGGGTTTACATGAGTAAGATGACCTAAAGAATCCATTGGTCCAAGTTTAAAACTTACTTAATTTCTAACACTTAATGCAAAAAGTACATGAAGTACTTTGATTTGGTCCAAAACTTTAAAAATGATGATAAAAGAAAATAAATTGATACAATAAGAAAGATTCTTAAAAAGGTTAAAACATTTTACTTATCTTTATAAAAAATGGTTTTTAGAGTGAAAGTGAAAGCGTAAAGCTTTTGATGTGTGAATTCATAATGAAGTATCGATGAAGGATAAAATAGTAAATATCTACTTCAAAAGTTTTATAAAGATGAATCTTCATATATTTCTGAACTAAATAATAATCATAGATTTTAAATCATCACAATTACATGTTTTATCTGACAATTTCCATTTGTATGTTAATCCCTACAAGAAACAAGTACACAGACTGAACGCACGTTACTGCGTAACGTAAGGTAACGCTACAAAAGGTACCGTTTTCCACATTTTTACGGTGTCTCTTACCTACTTTTGTTAAAACGGTTGAAAGTATATCAAAAATAGCCTCCCCCACAATGTCAGAATAAATTACATTTCTAAACTCTTTATTATATGTAAATGTTCAGGAATGGCAATAGTTTTGCTTGGATTTAGTTCTACACAAATGTAGCACACTGACTTTGTATAAACGAATGCACCAGTTTGAAAAGTACCACCTAATACATCACTACGTTCAGGTTCTAGAACAAAGTGTTTTCGGGTTACTTTCAATAAGGTGTGCTACCTAAACAACGTCTTCTTCGTGATCAGTTGATTCAATAGCCTGAGAATTTCTTTCTTTCATGCTAATTAATTTAAAATCTCTGACAAATCTCCAGTTAAAACAGTTTTGGATATTTCCTTTCACACAGTCTTCATATTCATAACAAAAGATGAATCGTGATCCTGTCTCCTGGTGATGTGTTATGTGATATAATTTGATGAGTAATTGTTTTTTGATGTGCAATATCATCGCGCGGAATATTCTCTGTATATCTAAATATACGTCAATTGTATACTCCGGATTTCGGTGTTTGTAGACGATTTTCACAAAAGTCATCAAAGTACTTAGCACACTGAATTTTAGATTTTCGCCTAAGAACAGCGATATCTGCCTGTTTTTTTAAGAACCCACCAGCGATGTCTTGTGGACCCTTGGCGTGTGAAGTTTCGTAAAAAATTACATTCAAGTGTTTTGTAACCAAGAGTATTGTTACTGACATCTCCCATGCAAAATCTACTTTTGTATTGGGCTGAACAACCATCGGTCTACTTATGCATGCAAGATACACTCACCGAAATGGATTTTAGGTAGTCAGATATTTGTTTTTGACAGTATTGTGTGAAACTTCGATTGTGTTGCAGATCTGGATTGATTATAAAAAACTGTTAACAAATTATGTTTGGATTCACAAAAGAATTGTCTATTCCATCTTTACCATGTACTGCAGTCGGTATAAAATTGTCACATGGATGCTTACTTCAGTTTTTTGAAAATAACTAGATTGAATTTCGCGGTGGTCTGAACATCTGTAACTTTCCGCGTAGTCGTGGACACATATTGCATGATAAAATTATCTAGAAGACTTATGAATTGTGTACTCTGCCAATTCGCTCGATATTGGTTCGAAGGAAACTCAGTGAGTATTTTTTGAAAACATTGAAACATTATTCCTGGTTTTGAAATCTTTGAAAGAAATTGTAATTTTCTACAAATTTTTCCACCTTTTCCAGAAATGTTGATATTCGTACCGTTCCCACATTACATTTACGGATTTTTCAGACATATTTAATTCTTCAGGTAAGTATTTATTTTTGGAAACCCCAATCTTGTCACACTCTCTTATCAAACACTGTAATTCATTAAAATAGTCATTTGTATTTTTCGGACACATAGTCTGACTAACTACATCGCTGATTTGCTCAAATATAGGATAATTATTTCTGACATCATTTGATTTGTTCTTTAAAGTAAATTTTAGAAATTACATGCACCGCTTAAACAAACATAACATTTCAACATGCTGGCGTCAGCAATATGTACACCGGTCTTCAGGCCGCAATGGTAACACAAAGAAAGGTTTATAATTTTCAAATAAGCGCTGACTTATTTTGATTTCGGGATACTTTATTTTAATTTCTAGAAAAATTTCCGTTTGAGTTTTTTCTAAAAGCTGTATCTGATGGGATGAGTATGTTTTGGATGAAATTCGCATTCTTTTAATATCTTTCTTATTTGATGAAGTTCTTGAAATAGAGGGTGAACACCAAAAGTCAAAGACAGTTTTCTTAATATCGTCAGAAACTGCATCACTTCTTGTTTTTCTTTAAAAAAGTTATTTTAAAACAAGATTTTTCTGTTTTTGTAAAATTTGAGTTCCTATTCGTCGTCCTCCAAACGGTCTCCTAGGTTTTAATCCCAAAGTTTTGGATATATTTCTGTTTGACACAGGGTCACCTATATCCTCTCCACTTATGGACACTTTTAAAATGTTCATTGTCATTCTGTCATCGTCACTTCTTTTAGATTTTGATTTACTTATAAATGTTTGTAGATTGTAAATTACTGTCCCTACAGTTTTCAATTCGGAGTTTGCTTTCAATTTCTTTATTATCGAATTCATTACAGGCGAAGACTTTATGTAGGCATTCAAAACTGCTACACGTTAAGAGGGCTTGCAGGCAAACATTCTTTAATGTTTTTCAAAGATCGCGACTTATCCATTCTGTTTCGAAAAGTATCGTTTTCTTTAAAGTTTTCATCCAAATCTAAGTTTTTCTTCAGCATTTGCGTCCTTTGGTCATTTCTCGCTTTCACACGTTTTTCTTTGATTTTCAATCTTTGATTCCTTTTTGTAATTGCATCTGTGGTTTGACTGTATTCAATAACGTTTTTTGTTTTATATGTTTCCGAATTGTTAACGTAGTACTTGTTATTATTTTCTGATTTCTTTCTTTTGTCAGTTCCTTGTAATATGCAGCTTTTTAAAAACTGTTCGTTTTCGGAATAATGGTCATCCTAAAAAATACATTACCTATATGTATGGTATTGCTTAATATATATAAAAGATGATTCAAAACGTAAACATCATTTAAACGTGATAAATCAAGCACAATAGAAAGAACTAATAAATAAGTCTGTCCGGCCTCCAAAATGTGTCTGTATAAATGGTATGTGTTGTTTCTCATCTTTCTTTTTTCAGTTTTCGTATTGAAATATTTAACAGATGCTGATCACCAAAAAAAAAATTAACGTTCATTGCGTCAAAATTTGGTGAAAAATGCATTTGACGTCAAAACCGATACATGGACATTCTATTCAGATTTGGTATTTATTTCATTTTGGGTTCGGTTTTAGAATAAGATATGAATGTTTGGTGTTAGATTTTTCCGCTTGATGAGATCTAACTATACATCAGCTGATAAATGTAAAGATGTTTATGTGTGCTTTTTTGTGTGTGCTTTAATGATACCAAGAACGTTTTTCGTGGAAGAAAAGTAAGACGTGTACAATTCATTCAGATCTGGCATTTTGATGCCGGTTTCTTTAATTTTAAAAAATTGTCTACGAAATTTTTTTTACCGGTTTTGTAAAACATAGAACTTTGTAATCATATATAGAAAATAACTTACTTTTACTATTCCTTATCGTATATAACAGCTTTCTCTGACCTTTTATGAATCTGTATTCTGTATTCTGTAAATATCTGACATATTTGCTGGATCTCAAGAATTGGATAGAAAACATTGAAACTTCAATGGATAGCTTCCATTCTATATGATTCATATTATGACGTGAATTTTCTTGGAGTTTTTTATGTGCTTTTCTGTTACGCGTTTACGCGCTTTTTCCGAAATTTCGACAAACGAAAAATGTTACATCTGACTGGACGTTTTTATTATTGCAGAAAACAATTAAGTGCAATGAAATGCACAACAAACCTCAAAATATTATAGAAACAATGTAACAATACTATTCTTTATTTCTTACGCTTTATTTTGATATATAATTATATAATATAAGGATCGGGAAAATAGTTATAATTCATTGCTTATGTCGGGTCACATCTAATTTCCAGCACTGTCATAGTAACGTGCGTGTAATCACAGTATTTTCCTCTGATTTAATATTAATCAGTTATGGAATTTTGACAAGGTCAATACGTTATAAAGGGACCTGTTCGGATTATATTGACCGAGGACGAAGTCCGAGGTTCAATACAATTTAACAGGTCCCTATATAACGTATTGACTGAGTGAAAGTCCTTAATTTATGTATTTTATATGTAAATAGTGTAAGTTTGAAAATGATATTGACTCGATGTTTCTGTTTTTGGAAATGATATTGACTCGATCTTACTATTTTTAGTAACATGGAGTCAATATCATATCTAAAGTAGTAACGTCGAGTCAACATGTCAAAACAGTGAAAAATACAAAATATATATTGGAAAACACGTGACCAAATAAACCAACGAGAAACAAGAAAAATCAAACCATATGTAATATTTCTATGTATCTGTCTTCTATGATCCAGAATCAATGTATACATTGTTCAACTTTTTAACATTCATTTGTGGTCCTACTGAAAATTGCCTTATTCCTCAGTTTTTTTTTTATTCAAATGTGACATGTCATTAATCGTCTTATATTAAGCACAGTAATCAGTTTGCTATAATATATTTAAATAATAATTCTCACATATATTTTCTAACATTTCTCCTTTCATGCATAGATCCAAAATCATTTCTGTAGTTTTTATATGATACACAATTTCCTTGTGTTGCATTTTCAAAATAAAGGAAGTGCACAGTCTTTTTCTCTGATTTGTTTTCTTTCAGTTTCCTTGTGTGGTATAACACCATTGTTTACAAGTCATCAAAATGCTGAAATAGAATAGTAAACATTATTATTGGCAAATTTCAAATTTATTGGGATAAAATAAGATCTGTCAGATACAAAATAGTAAAGTGCATTTTAAATTTTATCTTCCTTAATAGCATTAAAGTAAACTTAAATGTTACCTAAAAACGTTTCTTTAAAATTACAATACACAATGTATTTATTATATAGTTTAAACTACTCAAACTCAAACTGATACTTTCTGAGATATAATCACTGCTCAACCAATATGCTATATATTTATAACTTTATCTACACTGGATGAATGAAACTGAGCGAAGCTGAAAGTTATGGACACCTAATACAATATAATAATAGCAATGCTTACATTATTTGGTCCGAGGACACAGTTATCGGCCTTTGATTTTCTCTGTCTACATATATAGTGCCTAGTGACTTGCAAATGTTTTTCATACAATTTCCAAATGTATTTCTTTATATTTTATGCATGAAATATAAAGTTGGGGGATGAAATAATATGTTAAAAATTAGGGTGATGAATTTTCAGGTAAAAAGTAAAATAACAAAAATACCGAGCTGCGAGGAAAATTCTAAACCGAAAGTCCCTAAGCAAATGGCAAATTCAAAAGCTAAACCACATCAAACGAAATGATAACAACTGTCATATTCCTGACTTGGTACAGGCATTTTCTTATGTAGAAAAAGGAGGATTAAACCTGGTTTTATAGCTAGCTAAACCTCTGACTTGTATGACAGTTGCATAAAATTCCATTATATTGACAACGATGTGTGAACAAAACAAACAGACATAATAGGTAAAAATGTCAAAAATAGTGGTACAGCAGTCATAGTAAAGTAAAGTAGTGATTTGGTCCAGTTGAAATATGTGAAAATTAGTATGTCTGAAGCTGTCAAACTGAATTATAGACCCCATAAAAAAGAATTGTCCATATTTTGAATGAGAGTTGATAGACATTTCTATAATTTTGATATTATTTGTCCCAAAAGTAGTACACCACACTGGAAATTCTTTTTGAGATAGAGCAGGTGCTATTTTTTTAATTTGCATTCATTGTCTAAAAGAAATGCACTACGAAATAACTGTGTTCTCGGGCCGTTATGGAGACCTCTTGTTTGACATTGTGGAAACTATATGTCTCTCTGGGTATTAGAAATTTCATTCTTATGTGTTGTGATAATCTTTCTACAAAAGAAAAAGATAACTATACAATATTTTTTAATCTCATTTTTCAGAGTTCCTAAAAGTTTTTCGACAATATTTGTAACAATCTGTTCAATGTCTGATTGTTTAACAAGATCTTCCAGAGCTTTTGTTAAATCATCTTTCTTTATGTTATCCTTCAAAGCACTTTTTATTTCCCCAAGGTCTTTACTAATACCACTAAAATCTGAGCTGAGATTCACACTATTGTCACTTTCTTCACTCTTCTCAACATCAGATAATGTTTTTTTAGCTTGTTTTGAGGCCTTCTCACCAGATTTTTCCTTTCCTTCTCTGTGGTCTTTATTCTCTTTATTCTCTTTGTTGGTTAAATCCCTCCTTGGGGCAATAAGTGTTTGTACTGTCTTATTTAATTTTTTACTTAAATTGTCTCTAGGCATATTGACTATATGAACAATTTTTACAATCCTTTAATTTCACACAGAAAAACACTAAAAATGCAAATATAAATCCAAATGCAGAATTTTTAGGAATAATACAGCAAAATCTTGAATCCTTGTATGTAGACAAAGTAACAGAAATAACTAATAAACAAAACACAGAAATTCAGCTATTGAAATCCCAAAATAGTACTTTAAGTAATCAGTTAGAGGAACAAAATATTAGATTAAATAGTATAACAATAGAAATGGAGGATACTATGAACAAATCATATGCAGCATTGTCAATGGCTAATTACAACGAGCATTATTCTCGAAAATTTAACATCAAAATGGTAAACTTTCAGACAGAAAATGATGAAAATCTTAGAGAGTATTTTTTGAAAACAGTTAAAGATGACCTCAATTTAAAGCAGGAAAAAAGAGAGATATAGTGGCAATACACAGGATGAGGTCGTACAAACCTGGAGTACCACCAGTGGTTGTTAAAGTGGTGAATAGTGAGGTAAAAACATCAATTATGAGAAAAAAGAAACAACTGAAGAACCATGTGAAATTGTATAATGACATTACCATAAAAATAGAGATCTACTGAAGGGACTACGACACCATTTATGTAGCATACAATTACAATGGATCTGTATATAGGAAAACAAAAGATGGTCTCCAAATTATTTTTGACATTTTTGATAATATAAGCTACAGAATGGAATATGAAAGAACCAAAGATGTGAACAACCAAAATGGTGAAAGTTGAATATCTTCAACTTTAACAGTGAAACTATTGGTATAATCATTTCAATAATACATTTTTGTCTTAAATATGTTATATCATTATTATATGGCTCTTTTGGTTGTATATTTCCATTTATATCATGTCTATACATAAAAAAATTATTTTGTGTTTAATTATAAACCAATATTTAATCTAAAACGCTAGATTGATTTAAAATAGACTATTTTCACATAAAATATGCAATGTGTGTACAATGTATATAACAATATTGTGGTTATCTCCCTTATGTAACCAAAGTGAAAGACTGTTTAAGATATGGTAAAAAGAAAGTCATGGCAATTATTTCATAACAAAACTGTGTAACAATTTAAAACAAAGACTTATTACACAGTCTTAAAATCTTTGTATATAATTAGTAAAAAAGGTTCAAAACACCAAATGTGTAACAAAGCAGTGGTGACCATGTTGGACATTTTTTTTGTTTTTAATTCCGGTTACACAAGATACTGTGTATCTTGTCTTACTTTGCAGCCTTTAGTCTTAATTTTTATATTAATATATATCTGGTCTCTATGTTTGCTCTATAGCACATATTTGACAATATATAGGATTTATGGAAGGTATTAAAATTGTGTCAGTAAATTGCCAGGGTTTAGGCGATATTGGTAAAAGAAGAGATATTTTTGGTTACTTGCGAGATAAGAACTGTAATATATATTGTTTAGAAGATACTCATTTTACTCCAACACAAGAAAATGATATTGAAAATCTATGGGGATAAAAATGCTATTTTAGCTCATTTTCATCAAACTCCAGAGGCGTAGCAATTTTTTTCAAAAATAATTTTGAGTTTCAAGTTCATAGAGAAAAAAGAGATTTATATGGAAATTATCTTGCATTAGACATTACAATTGAAAATCATAGATAACTCTAATTGCTATTTATGGTCCAAATATGGACGACCCAGGTTTTTATGAAAAAATATCAGATATCATTGAAGATTTTGAGAATCAGTACTTTATAATCTGTGGTGATTTCAATCTTGTGCTTAATCCTGAAATAGATTATTACAATTACTTACATGTAAACAATCCAAAAGCCAGGTTAAAATTATTAGCAATTATGGATAATCAAAGTATGGTTGACCCATACAGAGAACTATATCCAGATAGAAGACGTTATACTTAGAAAAAAAAGTCACCACTGAAACAGTCAAGGCTGGACTTCTTTCTCATATCTGATGTGTTATTAGCTTCTTTAAAAGATTCATGTTTAGAATCAAGCTATCGGTCAGATCACTCCGTCATAGTTTTGCATTTAGTATTTAATGATTCTAAAGGAAAAAAGGACTCTGGAAGTTTAATAACTCATTGCTTTCTGACCAAGAATATTTAGACACAATAAATGTAAAAATTGAAGATAAAAAAATCAGTTTTCTGCGAAACCACTTTCAGAAAAGCAGAACATTATGAATTCAGATTTTTTGTTAAGTATCGATGATCAATTATTTTTGGAAACCTTGTTAATGGAAACAAGAGGTAAAACTATAGCAT